CTCTCTAATTAGGGTTACATAGCTTGCATTGTAGCTCATATTCTGTAAAAGTATGTAAATAATTTGTGCTCCTGGGATATAGTAAGTCATCTTATATTTATGGTTGGAAACCTTCATGCCAAATTGTACAAGGTACAACAGTATCTTGACTTTTCAATGTCTTTCTGCAGCCTTACAAAGTAGGAAGTTTTGCCTTTCCTTCTTTCATGTCATATTTACACTCACAAACCCTTTCCTGTGCTGTCATGTTTACATTTTCTTCTTCATCAATCTATGTCCACCCAGAGCTCCATAGCTGGGGTCAGAGAAAGCAGGGGATTATGGGTTTTATCAGCATGGGGTTTTTTGGTTCATATGATGCAACTGTGTCCTCAGGATGTAACGGTCAGTTTGACCTCTTTACAAACACCAAGAAAGTATGTGAGAAAACATTTTACAAGCCGCGAGAGCATTCTTGGTGGCTCTCAGGAGAGCAGAAGAATTTTCTTTGGCTGGCAACAGTGAGGAGTAGACTGCACTGCTGACTGTTGTGGAGTATGAAGAACAGCCTTGTAAGCAGGAGAGGTCACTGTAGACTGGGCTCAGTCACTGGTTTTCCACATCATTTTATTTCATTTCCTTTTATGGAAACTTGAAAGGTATTTATTTAGGTCACTGCTTCCTCTGTAACGTTCATGACACACCTCCACCCACATCTGCAACCTTCAGACTGACATAAGGACCATGCACTCTGTCCAGGTTGTAGGCAGCATCTCCTGGTTTCACATAAGTTGCAGTGTCCCACAAGATCAGGATGTAGAAAGATAATGTGTATTTTTCTTTTTGATTGTGAGAGAAAGGATGTTTTTATGGTTCCCCATAGATTAACAGATGATTAATGGAAAAATATTTGCAAGGCATATATGCATTTGAGTTATGATTCCGTATTTTAAATTGTCAGGATTACTAAGAATTGCACTGCATCCATGGCAGAAGCTGGCATTTCTGTAATTTTTGGTTGAGACACAGAGGATCAAGACATAGAGAATGCTTTGAAGCCCAAGAATGATTTTTTTTCTTTTTTTAATCTAACTTGGGTGTTCCTTCTACTGGAAAAAAAAAGCTCTTATTTCCCCCATACTCTTATGATTTTGTGTTAGGTGGAAAAAAAAACAAAACTTTGAAATCTAAGCTCACATCTTTTTCATATGGTACAGTATTTGCCATGAGTTGAAGACATTAAGTAAATTACTTATTGTTGTACAAAAAAAAATACTTTAAAGTTTACTCTTTTTGTGATGGCATTAAAATTTCAAAGGGAATTTTGTATCACTTCACTCTCTACAACGACTCGAAAGGAGGTTTAGTGAGGTGGGGCGAAAGGATGCAAAGAAATGGCCTTACATAGCATCAGAGGAGGTTCAGATTAGATATTAGAAAAAAAATTTCACTGAAAGAGGAGTTAAGCATTGTTAACATAAGTTACCTAGGGAGGTGATGGGGTCACCATCTCTAGAAGTGTTCAAGAGGCACTTGGGGATATGATTTAGGGGTGATTATGGTGGTACAATGTTGACAGTTGGACTAGATGATCTTAAAGGTCTCTTCCAAACTTGATGATTCAGTGATTCCATGACAGCATATTCTAACTTCCTCTTATAGCATGTATGAGCTCACTATGGCAAATAAAACTGTTTACTATTAAAACAGACCTTTGATATATTTCTGATAGATCAGTAGTCTGACTTGTCAACAGATTAATGGATTAGAGCATGTTGTGATCTTTATATGAAAGACAATTTTACAGAAGTAGACATTACCAACTTACCTTTTCAGGCAAAATAGTTAAAAGAAAACCATAGTACTCTTTAAAATGAAAATACTGTATTTTTATGGAGGATATGGTTTAGGATTTAGAGGTTACAGCAGAGTGGCAGGTTAATGATTGGACTTGATGATCTTAGAGGTCTCCTCCAACCTTGATGATTCTATGATTCTAAAGATGGTTTCTGTTACTTAGAGCATCAGGGCTGATTCCCAGGTGTCCCATTGCCCTGCTGAAGGCAGAAGCCCAGTGGGCTGTGAGCAATATGGATTACAGCCAGGAGCTGAGGAATAAAGTAAAATACCTCTTTCTTTATTGTGAAGGATCATGATCAAAGTAGCTCTGTGTGTTTCCTTCTATATCTTTCCTGGCTGTGTTAGAATAATTCTTTTACAAGGCTCCTTGAGTGATTTAAATGAGCAAAGCTGTCATCAGTCACCTTGCAAATTTTTGTCTCACATAAAAATATTTCTGCCCTGAAAGATCTGTGTCCTGCTGGAAAAACATGCTCTTACTGGGAAACGTTGCTTAGGATAGCAGAGTAACACTGCCTAGAATAATGTTGTTTCACCATGGCTTTCCATACTCAGAAAGAAACCCAGAAATTCCTGTAAATGTCACTGGCACCAAAGAGCATCTTCCTGTAGGTGTGTTTAAGTTTTATAATGATTAGCACACCTCAGGCTGACCTTATTTTCACTCACTTTTTGTTTGAAAACATGGAGCTGCATAATTATCAAATAAAGTCTCCTCTGAGGGATGGAGAGTGGCTGGTGATTTATTTCACAGATTGTGAATAGAGTAAAATAGGAAAGTCAAGCAGGTGCTTCAAATGCATCGGGACACTCCAGCAGCTGTACTACAGATCACAGCAGTGGTGGTAAATGAAGGCTGGAAATGGGCAGTGCTTTTTCTGCAGAGAAAACCTGGTGCTTCTCATATCAGGAACATGAAATGCATGTTGTTTTGTGGCAAAGATTGTAGGTTCGTATGAAAGCATACCTGGCCTTTATCTTAAACCTTGAGTGCATCAACAAGGAGGGGATAGGATTAGATTGGTGCCAGCCCAGCTGTTTCAGTGATCCTACATCAGTTTACCCTAAAAAGGAAAAACAAAAATCTCTTTTTAAGTTAGTACCAGCTGTTCAGTTGTTAAATTTTCAGGATTTTTCACGTGAATTTACGGTGCTCTTATTGTGCAGAAGTTTCTCCAGCCATATTAATCAAATACTGTTTTCAGAATGGCAAGAAGGTCCCAGTTACACTTTTGCATCAGGTATTGCTACTTATCTCCAAGAATGTTTTCTGACTTGTATATTCATTATTCTTGCAAAGAAATGATAAGTTCCTTTGTTGAGATTTAATATCTGTTCACCTGTATGAGAATGAGAAAAGAGGAATGGTTCTCAGTTGGGCATTACTAATGATTTTTATATCTCATGTAGGTGTTTCTGCCTTTCAGTTAATCTATCAGTCAAGTGCAAGCTGGCTTGGACATAATTTAAAGTATTAGATCTTTGTAAAGCTTTTTTAAAATTCAAGCAGTTTATTAATTCTTTGCAGGTCTCTGTAGCTTCGTATGGAAACCAAAAATATATATAACTGAAAACATCTCTGGTGTTGTCTCTAGTCAAGGCACATTAAGCCTTTAAAGAACTGAAATTTTTGACTCATATTAAAAAACATGTATTGGGATGATAGGAGGGACACACTGTCAGTGCAGTGTCCCACCAGTAGATTTCTTAGTAGTCTTCATAGTGTCGAGAATGGGGGGATTGGTTAGTTTGAGCTCAGAGCCTTGAATGTCAAACTTCAGGTCTTGACCATAAATCTTCTGGTACATATTTAAGGCAAGCCTTGAATATACTGTGGGGAGCAAGGAAAATTGGTTGTTTGTATCCCAGTTGGCAATTTTTATGTTGTTTTCTTTAATGGTTCCTCACTATGTGATTTACTTCCCAGCCTGGGATCTTCTGATGTGCTTATAATATCTGATTTACATAAGTGTGAAAGAGAGTAGGAAACAGGAATGTACTTTAAAAGGTTTACAGACCCAAATGTGACACTAATGAAGCTAAGTACGAGAGCTGAAGCTGTAGGAAGAGCTTTTCTCTGATGAGGTCTCAGATGCAGGTGCTATGGTTGGAGACCTGTATCTTGCACTGCCCTGGGAAAGCAGAGGTTGGTCTCCATGTCTTCCACACTGCCCAGCATGTCTGTCTTGTGAAATGTTCTTTATCGCATTTTATTTACTTGATGAAATATGGATCTGTTTAGTAGTTGGTTTGATACTGATGCGTATCAAGCCTATTGCATTATGAAAAGTGCATGTCTAAATATCAATGAAGATTGATTCTGCAAAGATGAGATCCTTCTATCTTCGCTTTTGTTGTCTTGCACTTTTGATTTTGCCCTGTACGTCTCTGGAGTCAGTGGGTCTGCTTGCAAGATAAGGATATTGGAATTCAATCCCGCTGCACGTATGTTGATTATTGTGCTTGTTCCTCAGGGTTCAGTAGCTTTGCCTAGTCTTTGAAAAATGATAAATAGCTTCTAATTAGATGAACGATATTGCATGAAAATGATAAATACTTTCTAATAAGCCCTTTTCTCACTGGGGGTTTGTACAATAGGCTCAGTTCTGAACATCTGAGGAATTTACAGAATTGTAATCAAAAGTGATGCGTGTTCTTATCTCAAGTAAGCTGTGCAAATCACAGCTGATGTTTGTTCATTGCAGTCCTTGAATGCAGCAGATTTATTTTTAAAAAAAGAAAATAAATGTTGTCTCCATTTTATTTGTTCTGGCTACTTCAGGTTTCCTCCAGAGTGTGCTTAGAATAAAGAAAAGCCTGAAAATAATCTCTTTAGTATTTTAAATATTGCTTAATATGAAAGTTGATCCACATGTTCCACTTTGAATCATACAGTAATCCCAATATAATAATTGTGGGATTTGCAGCAAGGGAAAAAAAAGGTGGTTTTTTACATTTTAGGACAAAACAACTTTTTTTCCCTCCTGAAATTTTTTAATGATACTTAGAAGTAGATAAATTGACCAATAGATTACTTTAAAGATATTTGGTCTCAGCACAGTTTTTTGACCCTGAAATGACTGCAAAAACCATGAGATAAAGAAAGCTGTTGTTAATAGAGAAAGGAAAATGTGGTATTTTTTTTCTTTCCTCTCCCACAGGACATTAATGTATGTATCCTGGAAAACTACCCTGAATGTTCCAATCCCAGGTTATTTTACATCATACCATATTTCTGTGGACAGCATCCAAGATGCAGGTAAATATATGCAAGGTATTCCAATTTGTTCAGCAATAGCTAATGCCAACATTTTGTCAGAAATTGGTAATAAAGAGGCAACAGTTATTTGAAGTACAAGAGAAAAATGTAAGTGCAATGTGGTGTTGTATGGGGTAGCTGCATGCATATATTTTGGAGTAAGGAGGGTAATGCAAATGTAGCACTGTCCTTTTTTCTTGATTTATAACATGAATACTTCATCAAATCTATATGTATTTATGTGGAATTTTTTTCTGAGTTGGCAAGGTGAGAGTGACAGTGACCATATGTGCTCATTAATCATTTTATCTGCACCACAATTTTGTAATACATGCTTTTGCTCTGCTCACATGCTCATATCATGTCTACACATAAGAAATTCCAGGGTTCTGTGTCCATGTAAGAAACAGTAATCATGCTTAAAACTATGTAAAGTGCAGCCTTCTACTGCTGTAATTAAGCTAGCTCATTTTTAACCTGTCTGTGTATGCCATTCTCATTTTGCTGTATTACTGATACAATAGTAAACTTTTATGGAATAATATGTAAATCATTTTAAATACTTTTATTTTAAATTTGTTTAAATACTTTTGTATTGTTGGTCCCATCATGTTCTTTACTAGGTTTGTTGAAATTCGAGGTGTTTCTTTATTGCTCAGGCTTCTCCATAATGAAACAACTGCACATTTTTCCAAACTTCTTTCAAAAGCCATACTTTTTGTAGCAGTAATAACCAGTGAAAATGTGTCCCTTTTTATGTCTTAGTTTCTGAGTATCTTTTTTGTAAAATCCTTATGCTTAAGAAACAAAACAGATTCATTAACTTCATTTTCATTATGGGTTTTTTTCCTTAACATATTTTGGCCTCATTTGCAAGTGCTTATGGTTGCACATTTAACTTGTGTGCATGAGTAGTCCCATTAACAAGTCACATACCTGAATACTTTCACAAGGTATCTCTGTGGGGTTCCCAAGCAGCATATTGAAGTACTATTTTGTAGCTTGCTATAGATCTGTCTCCTATTATGTATGCCCTTGCTTCCTTCAGCTAATTCTTAGTCTCACAAGGAGCTCCAAACGGGAGGCTCATAGTGTTTGTTTTAGGACACTTTGCTCTTCCAGAAAATGGATCAGTACACAGAAAGTGGTAGAGCATGAAAAACCTGCTCCAGGACTACTCCAGTAGAAATGTAAAGCAATAAGCTTTTCCACATGTCACTGAAAGAGCTTCCAAGAAAAACTGACTATTACACAGAGTTCACAGTAGGCTAATGGAATCAGGGAAGAGGTGTGATTTCCAACCACTCTCAGGTAGTGTCACATGTGACTCAGGTGTTCATCATACCAGCTGAACCCTGTAAAAAAAGCTGATTTCCTTTCATTTGAGGCACTGGCATTATATCCCCTATCAATATGAGTGATGACTGCTGCTCCCAGGACATAACTAATAGGAATTAGCATAAAGCATTTAGGATTCATGTGCTTGTCTAACCAAATTGTACTTCTGGGAAACTATGAGAAAAGCATAAAGATATACTAGAATCCTGCCAGCTTCTCCCACTAGGAGAAAAGATAGAAGAACCCTAAACTGATCTTCAAAACCAGTATCAGTCAGGACAAACAAATGCAAATCCTGTATCAAAGCTGCAGAGCAGTCAGTGGTAATGGCAGGGAAAGGGAAGCTCATGAAAACTTTGGCAGAAGTTAAAACAAAGGACAAGGTGGAGAACAAACCAGTAGTATCCTGTGTAGGATTCACTGGGTAACAGCAGGCAGTGGTTGCTCGCAGCAGTTCTCCTGATGTGGTTCAGGGACACCACCCCCTGAGCACCTTTCATCACCCAGGGCAGTCATTCCTCCCATTAAACAGGTTGTGCTTCTGAGCTGAAAGTCAGGAGTTCGCAAGTTTGAGCTTGTAAACAACTCGGCAGAAGGTGTCTTCAGAATGGAGTACTTTCACATAGTGATTAGCCTCCTTTTAATGTGATTGTGTTTTTATATGCCAAACCAACATTTATTTGTTTAAACTCTTTTTTCCCCCCCTCTTCCATCTCTTTGCCTCCATCAATTTCATACAGGGAGCCTGGTGAATGGGCCCTTGAAAGAGCAAAGCTGAACGTTAATGAAAATTTTCTGCTTGTGGGCATTCTGGAGGAGTTGGAGGATGTGCTGCTTTTATTAGAAAGATTCTTACCTCATTATTTCAAGGATGTGCTTAGCATCTACAAAAACCCAGGTAACTTCTTCCATTAAAATGCTATTCTGTACAGAAACTTTGGCAAAATCTGCATGGCTGCTGAAAGGTACATGTTTCTGTCTTGTTTAGTCAATTAAGAGATTTATCTTCCTTTTAGGGAGAAGATCTGATTGATGGGGAAGGTCATACATTCTGCTTTTATTTTTACTGTTACTGTGTGGTTTTCATTCCTGAGCAAGCACTTGCTGCTCCAGTGATCTTGCCACATGCCAGAAGCTTTGCATTTACCACTGGAGTGGCTTTTTCTATTAATTCTGTCATACTCAGCTCTCAAATAATATGGTCAAAATTCTCAAAACGGTGTCAGCAATATCTACCTAACTAAACCTTCAAAAATGGTTTGGGAGTTGGAAACTTTGGAGATTCTCCAGTACCAAGATGTTTATTTTCCCTCAGCCCTTGACTAAGAGTTGAAATGAAATGAACCTTCAGTTAAACTGCGTTTAGGTAAAGTACAAATAAGAATTCGTATTTACAGCACTTTAAGTACAAAGAATGTGTGGAAAAAGACTTAGAAGACATGAGTAGAGAAATGAAAACAAAGAGCAATCAATCTACTCCTTAATTTGCACCTCACAGTCAATCTGAAAGGGTTCTCTCTTCTCTGCATCAGTCCATCCCTCCCAATGCTTATTTATCACTGACTTCTTTGAAAGGCAGTCTTGTGGCCTATGCCTAAAAATAAATATGATGCTTCTGGAGGGCTGTGCATGTCATTCCAGCAGAGCTGATTTCCTGCTTATGTTTGACTGGGCCATCAACATTGTATGAACCAGGCAGGGGTAATAATTCTTGCTTGGTGACATGGTTGCATTCATGTCAGTGCAAAATGCCTACAGCCATTAATATGTGTGTTTTGTACCAAGTTGTATATTAAAAGCACATGGAACAAAGATTGAATGTTGTTTGTAATGCGTGCAGCTGATGGCTGCCTTTTGACTGAGACTAGCTATTATAGTAATCAGTCCCTTTGGAGAAATTATGGGTTTCTGTCCATAACCAGGACTTATGCACCACTGTCCACCAAAACAATCTTTGAAGATTTCGTGTTTAGCAACGATAGGGATACTGCAGGGAAAGTGTGGCATTCCTTCTCTGAACACGATTTCGGTGGGTTGTTATCTGCTTGCAATAAGGCAGTTAAGGCAGATAGTTGGAAGGTGGGAGTGTAACCTCCTTATGGTGCTATATCCAGCCATGGAGCAATTTTGCTCAATAGTAGACATAGGGGGAGTATGGTATGGTACTGACATGACAGCAGTGTCTGGTTTTCAATCAGTTATTTCTCTTTTCTTTATAAATTAAAAAATAAAAATTTCTATGTCTGTAGTATGTGGAAGTCATCTTAAAGGTTTGCACAATTTGATCTCCAAGGTTTCCCCATAGGGATGTTAGATGAGAGGGAGGCCGGGGATCAATAGAAGGATATGCTCTCTCTGCGATCAGCAGACTTTTCTTTGGAAATCTATAGGACTTCCTCAGCTGTTCTGTGCACCACAGATTTTCACTTCTCTTACAATGGAGGAATCTAATAAACAGCATGCAGGGTTTGATTTTCATCAGAAATTGTCAGGTGGGAAATAAGCAATCTCCCAGAGTCATTAGGTGCTGGTTAATCTTTCTCTCCTCTGTATATATTCCAGTATCTGGTGAAAATTTGATCACCTGTTTCAGGACAGTGATTTCCTCTGGGATTTCATGTGTAAGACTGGTCTTGTGTCATGTCTGAAAATTCACCACTTTCCTTCAGTATTCCCTATGCAGATTAAACTTTTATCTTTCCCATTCACTTATTGACAAGGAAGAGTAGAAAGAAAACAGTTTTCTTGTGTTAACTCTCTCCTACTCTTTTCATACATTCATATGTTTGGAGGTTTTTTCTCCAAACATAATTATTCTCAATTTATTTCTGAGTTGGTGCTAATGCTTAAAAAAAAAAAAAAGACACAACAAAACAACCTTAACAGAATCAGCCATAAAAATACAAAATACCCAAGTGCTCTGTAAGAAATCCTACATCGTTCTCCTCAGGGCACCTTAGACCTGATCTGCAACACCCTCTGCTGTTGCATTGTGAAGTGCGTGGAAGAGATGCTGTTTTGCCAGCTGTGTAGTGATCCCACAAAGCAGTAAATACTTTGGGCCAAAACTGACATTTTGTTGCAAATAACACTTGCAGGTTCAATCTATACAATTTACAGTATTGTTTGCTGACCTGCTGCTCCACCCACGATTCTCTTATGGCAGTCTTTCCTCCTACCCTATAAAGTAAGTAAGGCTTTTCTAGAACTTATCTTTTGTCAGCTGAATATACTGAGATGAGAAAAACACGGTGAAGGACCGTGTACAGAAATGTAATTAGCTTCCAGGTCTGTGAATCTCTGCACCAGAGTTCACTGCAAAAAACAGTTCTGGATAGACACAATCCAAAACCTGAATTTTTAGAGCTGCTTTGAAGCAGAAAATAGCTGAAGGAAGACAATTTCCATCCAGTGTTGCTTTAGTGGGTTACATGGATTAGAAAGCCAGGTAGGAACTTGGTGATTGCTGTCCCACCAACATTGTAATCTAAACCAACTTAAAAGCACCTACCTCTTGCTATAGGAAGCAAACTGCTGGATGTTATCAAACCCATAAAATCACCTGTGCGTTTAGATATGTCTGCAGGAGTTGTGGGTTAAACCTTTCTTCCCAAAGTTTGGACCTTCCTCACTCACTACATGTGCTTTGGGTGGTCACCAGATCACTACAGCTCCCATCCAAGCAAACTTCTTATTACCAGGAGCCTTCAGTATAGGCTGATGCTACAGAAGTCAGGAAATCTAGAAACTTTTTTGTCATCTCTGTTTCTTTTAACCATGCAAGCCAT